GAGCCTAGCACAAACAAATAATTTTGACGCCGGCTCAAATAAGCCCTCTTTCATTTAGTACCTCGGCTCGTCTCCTTCTAGGACTCCAACTCAGGGCTTCGGCGGGACCCACAAGCTCGAAATCCTGATGTCTCTGCCTGTACTACTTAGTTAGCAGGCTTTAGGGTTCAAGTAGTTCTTATTTATGACTTTTTGGTACCCCGCATTTACTAGTTAGAGGGCCTTAGGGTTCAAGTAGTTCTTATTTATGGTTTTTTGTGCCCCCCAAAAGCCCTAAAGACCCATAATAAGGAGCACTTGGATCCTTAGGGGCAGGCTTTAGGGTTTAAGGTTAAGGCATAGGTGTGGCTTAGGGGTTCAGGGCTTGGGAGTTTAGAGTTTAGGGGTTGAGGGCTTAGCGTTTAGCTGCACCTGCATTGGTGCTGTCCGTCCCCTGACTTGCTTTTTCCTGAACAATCTAGTTTATGGATAGAAGATAGTACCCTAAACCCTAAACCGTTGAAGATAGCATCTAAACGAAGAACATTATGGTGACAAACACAGAGCTGCCTTCGGGAGCTCGCAAATTACACCTCATCCTCTATGTCTATGCTCCCTTGAACCCTAAACCGTAAACTAAACCCTAAAACCTAAACCCTAAACCTAAATGTTCAGGGTATAGTGGTGTAGGCTCGTGCCTTCAGCTTTGGGAGGTCTGACCTCTCATGGGGCCAAATCAATAGAATTAATTCTGCAGACCGTAGTCGCAGTTGTTTAGTGGGACCCTTTCCATTCATAGCATTGTACTCATAATGATAATATTAATAGCAACATTATATTTACAAGACTGGTAATCTTAATACTACTAATAATTGAATAATGAATAATGGCTTACGGGCTATCGGAGCCCGACTCCCAAATGCATCTCCATCTTCCCACTGTCAAAAGAACCCAAAATCCTGCTCTCTGAAGTTTCGAGGATCTAAGGTTACCAGTATGGGCCCGTACTTAAAGGATCATGGGGCTTAGTAAGTAGGGTTATAAGTAGGGTAACTATACTTATAACCCCGATTAAGGGACTTATAGCTTTACTTATTAAGTCCCATGATCCTCCAAGTAATATGGACCCTTAGGCCTTTCTAGGGACCCTTAAGGGTACATATAGGGTACATAGTAGGTTTTTAAGGATCCCACCCTTAAGGGCCCATACTCGGGGCCCATGGTTTCAACCTGAGAGAGGAGGAACATCGGAAGGAGGAGAGCAAGGAGGTTGCTTGCAAGACTATCCCGGAAGCGGCGTTGGTGGAAGGTGGCGCCGGAAGGGCAGAAAGGTAGCTGGCAGAGTTCAACCCCCGGTTTGTGTCAGGGTTTAGGGTTTTGGGACTCTGACTCGTCTTGAGACAGAAATCCTGCGTACTCTCCAGGATTTTCAAACATGGGGAGAGAGTTTCTCATCTCCGTTGACCAAGTCGTCGTTCAGTGTCGAGTTTGGAGAACCAAGAATTCCGATTGGGAGTAGGCTAAATGTAGAGTGAATTTCTTCAGGTTCAGGTCCAAGCCCCATGCCCAAACTGCAGACTAACACCCAGACGTTCAGCCCCGAACCTTTAAGCCCTGTACCCTAGACAACGGTGCAAAGTGTAAGTCTTGGACGTTTTGGAATTTTGAGCCAGGGAGCCTCCAAACATGTCACGCCCCTTCTCTTCTTGAGTAAAGTAGTCCTAAACCCTAAACCTTAAACCCTAAACTGTAGTGATGAGGGATGGTCATCGCGGAGGGGACATATTGCCCAGAGCCGCTGGCTCCGGCCCACATCGAGGCACTTCGCGGCCCAACTCTTACCCTGGGGGTTCAAAGGACTTAGTAATCATGCACTTGGGTTACGGATACTAGTTTTGTAGGGTATTTATCAGGTACCTGGACCATTAGGGTTACATGGAGCCAGTCCCCACACTGAACCCTAAACCCGAAACCCTTTTAGGGTTTAGGGTTCCTACCTTACGTGGAGGTGGGATCAACGACCCTGCAGCTGCCATGGCTGTCCATCACGGGCACGAGGATCTTCCGGGCACTGTGGGGTGCTGGAGTCTTCAATAGCTGTCCCTATACTACCCATAGGCTCCAGTGTAGTTCCTTTTTGGGATTATAGGATCCTAAATATAAACCACGAAAAGGGACTACTACTACTACTACTACTACTACTACTACTCTACTACTACTCTTGATGATCTAAATCCTGCATTACCTTACGGACGCTAAGCTATGGGAAGTATGGTACTCTCCTTATTATGGGGAATGCAGGATTTATACCATCCACCATATGGAGACTACAGGTATAGAACCTGTATTGAAGCCTTTAAGCAGCATGTATCGGCGAGGTGCAAAGTGCGGTGGAGGCTGCAAAGGCGAAGCGTAAGGCCCTCAGTTCGGGGTCTGATCTGAGGGCTTCGGGGATGTAGGGTTTCGGGTTTAGGGCTTTAGGGTGTAGGGTTTCGGGTGTTGGGTTTAGGGTGTAGGGTTTCTGGGTTTCGGGTTTCAGGGTTTCAGGGTTTGGGGGTTTAGGGTTCAGGGTTTTGGGTTCAGGGTTGGGACAACGTTCAAGAAGCTCGAAGCGCCAAGCCCCGGAGGTTTAGTCTTATAGTTGGTCTAGCAGCCCGTCTTTGCATGCCAACAAAGGGATGCTTTAAGGACACCTAGGCCCTAGTCCCCAAACCCACAACTCAAATCCCTAAAACCCCTACAGCAACGCCCGAAACCCTAAAGCTCTACAGCCCTAAACCCCAAAACGTAAAACAAGCCTGCAAGCGTCGAATCCAACAGCTGCCAGTCGGGAACAGCAGAAGGGGAAGGCATCCGAGACCCCAACTTAAGGTTTTAGAGGGGCTAAACGGTTGGGCCTAAAAAAGGGGCCTTAATAATTAGACTAGGATTCGGGGCCCAATTTACTATAACTATAAGAAGGAACCCCGAGAACCCTATTCAAATATACTAGAACTATAAGGAGGAACCCCCCAGAACCTTGTTCTAATTATTAAACCCTAAACCCTAAATTCGACGGCTTTTTCCTTATGGGTGGGCAGCTTCTGGGCCGTCGGCACAAAGCTGTTGGGGCCGGGGCCATGTTGGCGGACCCCTCACCCCTGAAACCTTAGACTCGAAACCTTAGAGTAGGGTTTAGGGTTTAGGGTTTAGGGGGGTTTAGGGTCAAGGGTCAAAGTCCACGGCATAGTGTTTAGGGTTTAGGGTTTAGGGTTTAGGGTTTAGGATTTAAGGTTAAGGGTTTAGGGTTTAGGGGCCTTAGAGACTGTGGGAGCAGGACTCCGTCGCATCGTTCCCGTAAGGTACGGTAGGGGTTGAGCTACTTTGTACTACTTATAGCCTTATCTTCCCCACTCTCTCGACTTCGCTACTTTTCTCGCTATATCAGCAAACTGTTGTTGATTATGCCTGTCCTCTTGGGTCTTGTGGTTTGCGCAGTGGACCAAGTATAGCGTACCATACTTCACAGCCTCTTTTGAATAGAACTCGGGCTGCATCTTTGGCTTTAAAGCTACAAGCTCTTAGCCTTAAAGTCTTACAGCTCGAACCTCGAAACCTCAAAACCCCAAAACCTACAACCCTAAACCCCAAACCCTAAACCGTGAACCCCCTTAAGGCCCTAAAGCCCCACAGGGCCCAAACCCACTGAGGCTTAAACGTGAGGGATGCCTCCACGCAGACCGTCCGAGATCCGGAGCGGCAGGCAACAGGGAGGTTGAGGGTTTAGGGTTTAGGGTTCAGGGTTTAGGAATTGAGGGTTCAGGGTTTAGGGTTTAGGGTTTGCCCTAGTTTCGGGGTTTAGTTTTCCGGGGCTTGTAGGGTTTTGAGGGTTTCGGGGTTAAGGGGTTTGGGAGTTTGATCCTAAACCCGTCTTTGAGGTGGTCGGGTTGAAAGATTTGGGTTTAAGGTTAGCGCAACAGGCCTGGAACCGTAACATTCTCCAACCCTGTAGCGGGCTTTGGAGATGCAGGTTTGGGGTTTAAGGATTCAGGGTTTGGGGTTTAAGGGTTTCGGGTTTAGGGTTTAGGTTTAAGACAGGAGAGACGGTGTCTTGTGTCTGGGGCTAAGGGGTTAATCTGCATTTTGAGATCTACGAGTTTTTTATTTGGGGTTCAGTTTGGCCCATCTTGAGTTCGAGGTGGTGGTGGCCGTCGGTTTCGTGAAAGGAAAGAGCAAAAAACTCAACACCCAAACCCTACCTTAACAAAACTACCAAACCCTACTTTTTGTCGGGTCCCTACAAATTCTATAGGGTTTATAATAAGGACCTACAAAAAAATAGGTTATGGTAATTCAGGGTAGATGTTGAAGTAAAGTCCACACCCCAAAAGTCCGAAAACCTCAAACCAGCGACTGCGAGGATGGCGGCTTCGAGACCATCTGGCGCCTGCGGCCGCGAGGTGTCTGCCGGGCCACGGGTTCGTAGAATTTGGGGTTTAGGGCGAACATACGGGAGTTCTGTGGGTTTGGAGTCCAGCCTTATGAGGATTTTAAGATTATATGTTATGCATTTCCCGGGGTTGTTCTCATGTCATGGTCCGTCAGTTGGCTGTGGATGTGGAGTTCTGGATTTGAGTTGTGCAGACGTGTTCTTGATCCTGCTATGTTATACCTAAGCACCGCAGCCACGCGCCGCTGTTCGCAACAACAGAGCGGTTTAGCTAGAAGTGCTCTGGGGCCATGTTAGAGCAACTGGAGCTAAACCCTAAAAGCCTACATTTGTGTTTATGGTTCCTGGGATCCCAGTTCCTGAAGTCAACCACAAACTCCTCCTTATACTTGCCCTAAACAGCTAAACCCCTAAACCCTAGCCTAGACCACTAAACCATCAAGCTCCTAACCCCTAAACCCTAAACCCTAAACCTTTGAGCACAATAAAATCCTGAAAGCCCCAGCCCAGAGCTTGCACCCTTCAGAGAACCCAATCGTTCCGACAAACCTAAACCCTAAACTCTAAACTCTAAACCCTAAATCCTAAACCCTAAACCCTAAACCCTAAACCCTAAACCCTAAACCCAAGGCATGGAGTCCTTCCCTCACTTCGCAAAGCCCAAGAAGGCGAGTTTGGGGTTTCAGGAAGGTTAGGGTTGGGGGAAGTTTAGGGTTTGGGGAAGTTTGGGGTTTGGGGTGCGTGGTTAGGGCTTTAGGGCTTAGGGTTTGGGGGCTTGTTTCTCCGGGTTTCTAGAGCTTGCGCTGTAGGCTAGCTCTTCGCAGGGTCGAGTTTTGGGAATCTCTTTACAGCTCGCTATTCTAAGGCGGCAAGCAGGCTTACCAGAGGGTAGTTGTCTAAATTAGACCCCATTTTAGGTCCCCAATATAGTACGGCACCAGTATAAACAGGACCCTAAAAGGGACCCTAATTTAGAGAACTACCCAATATACGGTTTCAGGACTCTTTCGGAGTTTGTTCCAGGCTGTTCCTCCCACCGGGCGGCAGGCGAAGAAGAGAGGCAAAGACGCCGAGGCTGTGGTGCTGCAGGCGGGGCATCGTGCTGTTTAGTTTGTAGTTTTTCTAGTTACAGATTCTAGCTGTTGTTGGATGGTTTTTTTGTGTTCTTTTTGGGTGCCGGCGACGGCCCCAAAGTTTCGCCAGCCAGTGTTTCTGTGGGACCAGAATCAGCAGCCTCCAGGTGACGTCATCCGGGGTCGAAGCCTGCATCGGGCCTGCTCGGTCGAATGGGGCCCTCCCACGAACCGAATCTCTACCCTACAGCGTGGTTTCGGGCTCATGGTGTGTATATATATATATATACAAAGCTACAATACAGACACATATATATATATATATACACACACACATACACGTACATATGTGTGTTTTAGAGTTTCGGGTTGGGGTTTCGCTCTCTGTATCAATGCCTCTCTCCCGAAACATGCCCTCCATGTCTAGGCCTCCACATAAATTTACGCTCCCAAACCCGACTCGTCCACAGGAGGTGGAGGATGCGCCAGCGGTGGATCCGCGAGATCCCAGCGAAAGGACCCGCCAAGCCACGATCCCAACCCTAAACCCTAAACGCCAAACCGCCTAAACCCCAAACCCCAAACCCTAAACCCTAAACCCAAAACCCCAAACCCTAAACCCTAAACCCACGGATGTCTTGGACTCATGGCTTCAGCCTTGGGGTTAGGGGGTTTATCGTTTCGGAGCAGTTAGCGGTCGTGCTGTAGGGTTACTTAGTTCTCCAATACCCAACCTTTAAACTTTTTTGGGGGTTAAGGGTTTAGGGTTTAGGGTTTGCGGTTTGGGGTTAAGGGTTTAGGGTTTGGGTTCTTAGAACTTAGTAAGTAGTAATCTGAAAGTTTAATCTTGTATTTCCCTGGCTGATTGGGGAAGTAAGGCTAAGGATGTAGGCCAAGTGCGGGGTTGAGGTGTTTAGGGTAAGGAGTGTAGTGTCAAAGCGACACATACCTCAAGACTTTCAAGACCTGGACCCCAACCTAAACCGAAACCCTAAAACATCCGAAACCCTACACCCCTAAACCCTAAACCCTAAACCCTAAACCCTAAACCCTAAACCCTCACGGAAGCAGAAGGAAGCCTCGGTTGTTAGCTTGCTGCCAACTTGAAACTGCAGAGGGACCTCATAGTTGAGTATGTTGCATCTCCAATCCCCATAAAATAGGTGGTAAAACTGGCTCTCTTAAAAGGGACCTTACGGTTTAGGGTTTAGGGTTTAGGGTTTAGGGTTTAGGGTTTAGGGACCTTATTGAGAGGCTCTATATCCCCAAGGGTCCCCTTAATCCTAGCTCCCCATAAAAAAAAAGCGCGAGGCCTCTATCCCACACCCGGAACCTCAGACCCCTAATCCTCTCGATGCCATCGCACGTGCCTTGTGGCCCTCATCAGAAAGGTCCCTAAACCCTAAACCCTAAACCCAAACCCTCAACCCTCAACCC